CTTTTTTTAGAAAAAAACATGGTTAAATCTTCAAACTGATTCATCTTCCTAGCTAGCAACTCTCACCTGCTCTGGGAAAAATTCCACATGAAATCATTTTGTTTATGATTTCTCTGGAAGACAAACCTGGAGTTTTCAACAGCTGTATTCTCAGTGTTTTGGTGATCTGTAAATTTTTCTTCTGTCTGAAAGAAATGACTTTGCAGAAGTAGAAGCTGCAATAGCTTGTATGGATAGAGAAATTTCCAGCAAAATTCTGCACCCTGATAAATCAAAAGAAGTCATAAAAAATTAACACTGGGACTGTTCAGGTGAGAGGAAAGACACAGATTTTAGTATTAAGTGAGATTAATGAGCTGTCACTGCTGGATGGAGTGGATTCTTGATAATTTAAAGTATTTAAGTCGTGTCTGGAATTTCCTCATGAAGGTCTTGAACAGTGGTGCTCAATTCATGGAGTCACATTCCCTGACAGCTCTCCTGCCTTGGCTCAAGCACCTTCTGGGTGACTCCTGGATTCTTCTACTTCTTCTACATCCCCAGCAGAGACAAGGAAGGAAAAAACTTTCCAAGATAAGAGCAGTGCAAGGGACAGAAGGTGAAGGCTGATGTGAGCAGATGTTAATGCTCCAAGTGAAGGGGCCCTCCAGGAGAGCTGGAGAGGGACTTTGGACAAGGAACAGGAGGGACAGGACACAGGGAATGGCTTCCCACTGTCAGAGGACAGGGTTAGATGGAATATTAGACAGGAATTTTTGACTGTGAGGGTGGTGAGGCCGTGGCACAGGGTACCCAGAGAAGCTGTGACTGCCCCTGGATCCCTGGAAGTGTCCAAGGCCAGGTTGGAGCAACCTGGGATAGTGGAAGATGTCTCTGTCCATGGCAGGGGGTGGAATGAGAGGATCTTTAACGCCCCTTCCAACCCAACCCATTCCATTAGGTTTTGGCTAAGAGGTCACACAGCTCTGTGTGAATTCCAACAACAGAGGTTTGAAGTTTTGAGAAGTCCAGGACTTCCCTGACTGTTATACTTTAGTCTTCTCAAGATTTCATTTCAAACTGTGATGGGAAATTGAAAAACAGGGACCAGCTCCATGGCACAGCCCTGAGTGTGTAGAAAGGCCTCCATGAGGGGTTCAGTCCTTCCCATGGGTGGACTCCTACAAATTTTCCTGTGACCTCATACCCAATGCAAGACTACAAAAAGATGACCTTGGTCCTCCGGGTGAAGGATGCCACAGGAATGGTCTCTGGACCCTCAAAGATGTGTCCACAGCTGGAAAATGCAGTACAAAGAGGACTGTAACAGCTCCTACACTGACATTACATTTAGAAGATTCCTGTTAAGGATCTGAGATGTAAACCTTGCTGGATTTATTCCTGCAGGATCCCCAAATCCCTGTCCTTGCAATAGAAGCCCTTTATGACCCGGATCTCCCTGCATGTGATTTGTTTCTACAAAAGAATGTGCTCAGTGCTGGGAGTGAGAGAGGTGCACGGGCTGTGTAAGCAGTGGAATCACAGAATCACAGTCACTAAGGGTGGAAAAGACCTCCAAGATCATCAGGTCCAATCTTCAAGAATTCCAGTCCATGCAGGAGTGAGATTTCTCACTGATTTTGCACCTAAATCCATCTGATTTTTTGTTGTTGTTTCCATATGTGTCCTTTTTTCGCAAGTAAGAACTGAGAGACAAAACAAGAAGGTTCTTACAGGTGAATTATGACAAAACAAGTAATTTCCAATTATTTGTCATTCATGTTCTTGTCTGTCTGTATTTCATGCTCAAATCTCAGTGATCCAGCTGCTGAGCATCATTCTGAGAATGTGACTTTGCCATCTGCCATAAACTTGAAATTTTGGGGTTAGGGAACCTCTAGATTTTCCTGTTAATATTTTCCTGAAAAGGTTTTTATGGATCTCATCCATCCCTGTCCTGAGTAAGGGATTATCATCCAGGTGAGAAGTGGCAGATCCATACAAACCCTTCAGAGCCATCATCCTTACTCCAGTCCCACTGATTTCCCTAGAGTCCAAAAGAGAAATAAGATTCCAAAGCATTTTAATGAGTGGGTTGGATCAGGAAAGTCTTCCAGGTCCCTGCAGGCCTTTATTTAAGAGATGAATTGCATTTCCAGTTGTACTGGTGTGATTTCACAACAGAGTCAGATTTATGCTGGAGTTACATGGCCACAAGGAAAAGAGGGATTGGACAAATTGTGGCTAAAGCCCCAGTGGATTTGAGAGCCTTCTCCAGCAGCTTAGGTAGCTTTTCTTTCTATCCTTAGCAACACAGCCCTGCTTAACCCTCCAAGCTGTGGTCAGTCATTTTGAGGCCAGTTTGATTGACAGCAGGTAACCTGTTAACATTTTTTCCTGCCTTTTCCAGTGTGTTTGATCCTGCAGGTGGCTGGTTGGATGTGTTGCTTTCCTAAATTATTATTATTACTTGGTTGGTTTTATTTTTAATCCCTTGGATATTCCATAAGGAAAAGTCATCTTGAGCCAGAGGGATGAAGTATTTCAATGTAAGTACAAAAAAAATGGATTGAGACTTCTCTCTTTTCTCTAAAAAGGTGTATTTGTGTATTTGGGTGAGATGAACATTTTTATTTGTAGATAAACAGTAGCATTCTTTTCCAACTCTGACCCTTCAAATGAATAGTATTAAACTCCTCTGTATGGGAACTGGGGTTTTTTGTTTGTTTGTTTGGTTGGTTGGTTTTTTGGGGTTTTTTTTGGTTTTTTTGTGGATATATGGCTTTGTAAGAGCAGATCTGACAGACCCTCTAGGTTGGCGTGGGTAATCAGCTCTATTACCCAAAATTCAGGGAATAATATTCCTTTAAATTAGTCATCCCATAACAATCCTATGAAATTATTCCCCACACAAAGTAGTACTGGGAAAGCGTGTTATGGTTTGTCCTCTATTTAATTTTTTTTTTTGTACTTCTTACAATATGATTTAAAAACTTGAAAAATGTACAATAAATCCTTGGGAAGCAGTTTAGATTTCTGGGAATGCAGTCAGCATATTGTGGATCACCATTTGTCCAGTGACTACAATTTGGATAATGGCTTTGTTTGGAAACGATGCTGTCACTGTTTGAAAGCTCCAATGTAGGGCTTGTGGAGAAAATTTGAACACACCTTTCTGGAAGCTGTTGGAAAATAGAGAAATGAGATATTTTTTTCCCTGGAAATGATGAGTTGGAGTAATGGATTGACCTTTAATTGGGAAATAAATAAGTGAATAATTGCTTGGTGAAATGTGTACATGGAAAGAATAAACCATACTGAAATCTTTGGGGTGTGCCTGGATGTAAAAAAAGCAGGGATTTTTCACAATAATGGTTTTTCAAATGACGCCTAATGTCTTTTCTCACCTTGCTGAGCTCAAACTTCCATTTATTGCAGCATTTGCCATAGTACAACATGCACAAATATTTTACTTGAGGGCACTGTGGTAAGCATATAAGGGTTTTGTTCTAAAATGCAGAGAAATTCAGCATTTACAGCTTTTTGAGTGCTTCAACAGTGAATTCCCATTAATGGCAGTGGGCACCGAATTGATTCTCCAAAGGATAAATTGTGATTACCACAATTATTCAAACTAGAACTTCATTCAGCTGCTGCAAGAGAGGTACCCAGGAGCAAAGTGAATGAACCATTCAACTATAAATACATTTACTGTTTTCTAATTAATTTGTGAGCACTAAAAATATTTCCTTTCCTATTTTTTGAAAGTTACCATAGAAAACTGGTACCAACAAGGAGCAGAATTTGGAAAATAAATTTAATGTAGATGTTTGTGGCCAGAACCCCCTTCTGCAAGTTGCAATTCTACTGATTCCTTATTAACAGTTCAAATTACTTCCTATCTGTGAGCAGATAAATGACCTGAAGATGACATATCTAAGTGCCATTTTAAGACTCTCCATTGAAGTCTGAGTAATTAACTCTGAGTAAACTGGGGAATCACTGCTTGTTTCATGAAATAAATGTATTGTGCTCTTTGCAGTCAATATTTTACCAGTTGTAAAAATGGTGTTATTTCTTTTATTTTTTTTTTTTCATGTCAAAATCAAGTTGTCTTCTTTTTTGGGCATAATAATTTCCATCCATGTGAGAAATGAACTTTTTAGCAACTGGCTTCCAAGGCAATGGATTTAATAAGGGCAAGTAATAAGGAGTCAGGACAGTGACATTAAAACCACTTGTGTTCAAAATGTGGCATGCAACCACCAGACTGAAACACCAAATCAGTTTATGTTTTAAAGTGAAGGACAACAAAAATTGGGCAGACTATCCCAACCAATCTCTAATTTTTCCATCCTTTAGCAGAACCAAGTTTTCTAGTTCTATTTGGTGTGTTGTGCTATTTGTTATTTGTTTGCATAGACTGCCAGAAATTTTTCATCCAGAACTCAGCACATTATGGCATGTGGCACCAGACTGCTCCTCAGTGAGCTCAGGACTGATTGTGTGCTACAAAAATATAATCACAGCATGAAGAAATTCAGCTTTGTTTTGGTTTTTGTTATGCTCCAGTCCACAGGGTTAAAGGGTTACATGAGAATCTCAGTGCTGCTCTTGTAAAAATAAATTTGAAGTAATCACTGGCTCTGATAATTTCAGAGAAAACCTCAAAAATATAAGCAAGGAAGACACAAAACTCCAAAGGACAACAGTGCACTTTTTGTGGGTTTTGCTTGGGGTCTGACTCATGCTTTTTTTGCCTCAGGGGTGACTGACAGTGACTGGATTCCCACTGGAATCTGCAGGACCAGGAGGGTTTTACTGTGAGGAGTAGGGTTATGGATGCTCTCCCTGCTGTGCTTCCCTGTACCTGCCTGATCCATGAATTCCTAAGAGCCCTTGGTACAATCTGCTCATGAAGGAGCTGTTGTGAGGAACACAAACTTTGCTTCTAGAGCAGTCAGGCCTTGATCCTTCCTAACTCAAAAAACCCCCACTCTGTTTTTTCCTTCTCTTTGTAGTTACCTTTAAGCAAGCGGGATGACTCAGGTGCCTGCTGACTACCTGTCAACCACCAGCTCCTACAACTATGAGCCACCCCTCCCCTCCGTGGCTCGGGCCAGCACCCTCACCAAGGTCCCTCCGGCCAAAAAAATAACCTTCTTCAAGAGTGGAGACCCTCAGTTCGCCGGAGTCAAGATGGCCATCAACCAGCGGAGCTTCAAGAGCTTCAACGCGCTCATGGACGACCTCTCCCATCGGGTCCCGCTGCCCTTCGGGGTCAGGACCATCACCACCCCACGAGGAATACACTGCATCAGTGAGCTGGACCAGCTGGAGGATGGAGGGTGCTACCTGTGCTCTGACAAGAAGTACGTGAAGCCCATCAGCATCACCTCCGGGGGACACAGGCCGGCCCCGCCGCGGAACAGTCGCCCCTCCAGCACCATGAGGAGAGCGGCTCAGGAGGGCAAGATGGAAGATTATTCCGCACCTTTCACTCACCATGGTCCCAGAATACCCAAGAAAATCACTCTGGTTAAGAATGGGGAAAGTGGATTTCGGCGTTCCATCATCCTGAACCGTAGAAATGCCCGGAGTTTCAAAACGCTCCTGGATGAGATCACGGAGATCCTGCAGTTCCCGGTGAAGAAGCTCTACACTATTGATGGGAAGAAGGTAAATATCTCTGGAGCTGGTTGATTGCTCAAACAGGAGTCATCACGTTCCTCGTGATGTAAATCCTTTAGCTCATGGGTCCAAAAGTTTATCCACCTTACCTTAATCCTTTGGGCTTTGTCACATTAATCACTTGCCTATTAATTACACAATAGTTTGATGTAGAAGAATCTTGTTGAGCCACTCAAGAACTTCATGACAAATATTGGTTGGGATCAACAGGAGGTTTAATGTTTTGCAGTCAAACATAAACCCCCTTCTAGTAACAGAGTTTCTCACCTTTTTTTGGAAGGCTTGTCCCAGCCCAGGTTCAGCTTTTCCATATCTGACTGCTGGAAATTCAACAGAATAAGGTGGCCCTTAGGTAGCACCTTGTGGTTGCACAGCTCCCCACTGAACAGGGTCCTGCTCATGATGTTGGATCCTCAATAGAGACAAGATAAGATAACCAATGATGATAAGATAAAAGAAGATAAGATGATGTGGCGGTTTCAGTTCAAAACCAGGCAGAACATAACCATGACAGACGATAAGATACCAACTAATGCATTAAAAAATAATGTTTGAGTGGGATCAAGGGACACTTTTCTATTGATGAATTAGTGAATTTGCTGTGGGGGAAATTCTTAAGATAAATTCAAGGCATGGCAGTCCCTTCATTCTTCTGTTCCCAAAGGAATTTCTGGATTCTGGAAATCTGAGATTCTCTTGACTTCTTCTCCATCTCTTTCTAGCTAATTAACCTTTACCTCCATTTTTTTTGAGAGGACTCTCATGAGTTATCCTGACTTGTCCCTGGCCCTGCAGTGAATGGAGATTCAAAGCTCCTTTGCCACTTTTCCCACCTTTACAGGGCTGAGTGCCAGCTCCTCAGTGGTAAAAACACAACCACTTGTGGTGTCACTTTCTGAGCCAGGTTACTGAAATGGCCTGGGTTCAAATGGCCGATTATCCAAGAGGGGAAAAATGCAGGAATATTTTGCAATAAACGAATTTTTACCTGGCACATGGAGAGGAATGTGCAGTAGGAAGGAGAGAGGGAGGGGATAATTTAAGCCATGCTTCCTGGTGGAAGCCCTGTGTATTATCACAGAGCCTTCTGCTATTCTCACCAGTCTGGAAAAAGCTTCCAACCAGACCAAATCCTGCTGCCCGGATATTTTATAATCCATGGAAAACTAACTTATTTTGCCACTGATTTCTCCAGTTTTCAAGACTTGGACTCCTGCTCAGTCCAAGATGAACATCATAATCTTGTGAATGGATAACAACTTCCTCTTCTTGACTTTTTGAAAAATTTCACTGATTTCTCTAAAGAAATGTTCTGCTTTCTACTTCTTAGTACAGTCTTAATGTTCCCCTTGTAATTTCTAAATGAATTCCCCACAATTTTCCTTCTAGTTATTATAAACACCAATATTTTAAGTGAGATATGTGTTAAATATGCAGTGTCTTGACACAATATCCTCAGCTCAATGATCTTGGAGGTCTTTTCTATCCTTCCTCTGTTTTGCATCAGCAGAAATATGGATGTGGGTCAAACACCATCACTTAATCTCTCCAAGGACCCTTCAGATTCTATTTTTTTAGTATGAAAATTTTCATTATTGTTTTGTCAATAAGGAATTGATTTTTATACCTTAATAATTCTATTTTCACACCTTTAATTCCTGTGCAGAATATCACAGTGATAGGTGACGAGCGGTCCAACTTCAGCAACATCATCATCTTCCACATAATTAGGAGATGTGTGATTATTAATACCTTTCCTGGGAATCTTTTACAGTGAGTTTTTTGGCCATTATTAATTTTAGTAATTTACCACCAGCTTTCAAAGTGTTCACTACTGTTCACTTAACAACCATTTCTATTGGTGCTTCCTGTTACTCTAGGGTTGGGTGCAAAGCATTTAAACCACAAAAAATTCACTCTGTCTTGGATTTTCCAATCTTTTTACTTTCACATGGATTCTCTGTTCTTCTTCTAATTTTTTTTGACCATAGCTCAGCTTCAAGACCTTCTGTTTCTGATATACAGTTGGTTGTGTCTGAGTTTTCAACAGATACAACTGTCTCATTGAAGAATCAAAACTGGGAGTTCAACTGACAGTTTTGAGTTTTTCTGAAATAACCTCCTTCCACTGGTGCTGGAATTTAAATTTTTTTTTATACTTAAATTTGCATTTTCTATTAAAGACAATTGAAAGAAGCTTCCATTCTTCCATGATCATTCAAAGGTATCTGGATGTTTCATATTTCTTGGATGTTTCCTTTTTTCTTGCATTATTCTCTTTGAAGAATAAATCAAATTCTCTTTAAATAATTTTGTAAACTTCTTTTATCCCAATTATCTATGTAATTTTTTCCCCCATGACTTAGCACCAAGATCTTTCTGAGAAAGAGGGCTGGGACTGAGTGGAACAGTAACATTTAATGTTTATTCCCATATTTTGACAGATTAGCAGAATAATTCCTAAGCAATGCGTCTGGACAGCTGATGGATTGACTTCATATTTGACTGGCTCAGAATAACAAAATTAACACCATTTAATGGCAGGTTCAGAATGTCTCTTTTTCAGCCAGTTTTTCCTTGAATTCTTGAAAAACCAACACAAAAAAAATAAAAAGGAAAAAATTTCCTGTCCTATATGTTAATCAGTCTTTCATCAGTGGAAGAGATGTTCATAGACCTCAGAGTGTTTGCTCTTCAATCTCCTTTTGTTTCTTCTACTCTGTAATTCCAGATCTGAACTTAAATCCTAAAATGAGTTAAATCACCTCTATCCCAGTGGCTCTCTTTTCATCTGCTCCATTTTAATAGTTTCACCATTTTATAGAGTAAATTCAGGATGCTTCAAGATTACAAATCTTTATGTGGGTACAAGCTTGGACACACATGGAACAGGCTTGTTTTGTGTTCCTTTCACAGATTATTGATTTGAGAAAGTAGAGAAAAGGGATTTGTTCCTTTTGTAGTCCACAAATTTTTCCAGTACACCTCTAAGTTTAATTCAATCATAACTAAAAGTTAAATCATAGAATCTGAGAATTTTAAAGCCCTGATTCCCACAGAAGTACATCCAGTTTGGTTCTATTGGTATTTGCATATTTGTGTTTTCATTCTAACTCCTGAAGGCTTGAGTGAGGGTAAACCAGTATTTTGAATTCCTAAATTTCAAAAAGTTGGGACTAGGAAATCCCAGTCCCACTGAAGAAAGTAGCTGTGAAGTGTTTGAACACTCATTTATAATGGGCAAATAGCCCATTTTCCCAAATTAACCAAGATTTTTCTTGCCTAGAAATTTGATGACTATGGGACTGGAGAAAAAATTAGTTCTATTTTAGGTAACCAAAATCAGTTAAATTTTCAGCATGAAAAGAAGTGTAAATCATAAAGTTTTTTTCAGGTCAAGCCACTCTTTGGTGTTTTCCAGGTGATTAACTGGAAATAATTGGATTGACTGCCCAAATAGAGAAATTTGTTATTTAGGTTAACATTGACACGCAATCAACTGTCCAGTGAAACTCTGTGCACATTTTCCCACTAAAATACAGACAATCCTGGATTTAATTCATTAATTAATCTAAATCTGATTGTCTTACAAGGCATTTGGGATGGGGGGACCCTTTTGGACCCTCTTTATTAATTATAGAACAAAGGAAGAATGACTGAGACTAGTAATTTAAGCTAGGCCCAAGTTTTCATACCCTAGTTGCAAGTATTACAGATATTTAGATATTGGCAAACACAAGTATGGGACTTTACATCCATTAGCTGATGAGATGGTTGGAAATCACATATTTCCTAGTTTATACTGAGAACATCAGTTCTACACTAAAAAAAGAACCAGGTGTGCAGATATCTCACTAAAAAGAATAATTGTAGGTTATCTTCTCCATCAAATGACCTTTTGACTCCATTCTGGGAAGTTTTTTTACCACATAGTGGCTTTTCTTCCTCATGGTCTAAACCACAGGAATGCACCTCTCTTCAGATCCCCACCACCCGCCTCTGGAGAGGGAAGGATGTCTCTGGGGGCAAAGAGACAGAGATCACAGAAAGGGCAGAAATCCTCCCAGGCTGTAAGAAATGACGTGTAGGATAATGAGGCAGCGACAGAGGATTTCCCTTACAAATGGCAATTATCCAGGGCCCACCAGCTGAACAGTCATTAAGACGTTGTTAAGTCACAGGAACCCAGCACCATGACTGTGTCCAGGCACAGATGTCCTGATTCCTGAATCACTAGGCCTTCCTTTTACTGGCTGTCCTGAATTAAAACAAAAACCAAACCAAACTCTTCCTTAAAAGCCAACATTCCTCCTCACATGGCGTTTGAAACCACACTGTGAGATGGCAAATACTCCACATAGTTTATGGCTGCCATAGTTTATGGCAATTACCAAGAGCAGCTCAAATGGGATTTATCAGCCCTCAGAAGACTTTTCCAGGGGATGTGGCCAGTTTTATGTTTGTTGGAGTGAGGCCAAGGCTGAGATGTTTTTATGTTTGGGCGCACTCAAGGCTGACCGTAAGTTGTTACATTAAATGAGTGATTCTGATCCGGTTTTGTTGTGTGGAAAGGTCGAGTGGAAGACCAGAAAGACTCGATTTTGCCTCAGATTCTGCGAGTGAGAACGTTGCAGAAGGAGCACTGTGTGCCACTGAGTTTCCTTGAGGGATCAGAGAATTGCTGTATGGGTTAATCAGGGGAGCAATCACTGGGGAGGAGTTAAGGCATGTTTCCTCAGGCACCACAAAATGGGGACTGTAAAAAATTAGTTATTAGAAACTCCTTGGGGTAAGAACCCCCAGTTTTCTATTGTGTTTTTGTTAAATTTGGCATGGGCTGCACTTCGGCAAGACTAACCATTCTGGGACCATCTTTGTCAAATCAAGCCATCTTTGACCACATCCCAGTCTTGGAGAAAGACAAAATGGTCCAAATGAAGTGACTCCTTCCCTGGTGTATCTTCCCAGTCTCTAGCAACCTGTGGGAT